GGGGGCGGGGCTCGACTCGAGGACGCGGAAGCCGAAGGGGAAGGAATGGGGCGGAGACACGGGAGCGGCGCAGGGGCACGGAGGTGGTGGAGGCGGAGGCGGAGACGAGAGTGGACTGCGGTCGGGTCGGACCGAGCCACGAGCCCACCAGGACTTTTTTTTTTTAGAACTACACGAGCCCACCTATCCGTGTCTGGCCCGCCTGTCGGTCTGAAACGGTCCGCGAGGCCCAAAAACAGCACCCAACGGTGCCCTCAAACCACATTTCCCCCCAAAACTTGGGGCCAAGAGGACGCTCTCCACGGTCCGTCCTTCGTGTCTGGCCACATCGACGCCCCCAACCTTTTGCCCTACTGCGACGACGGCCCGCCACCGCTGCTCCCTCGTAATCTTCCCGCCGTGCCCATTATAGAAAAGCAGTGATCGCGGCCTGCCATCCTAGCCCCTCACAATGTGGAAAGTGATGACTGCTTGTGGAGTGTGGAGGATGAGCGCTAGAATGCAAGTCAACTAGAAGGGTGGGACTTTCAGGGGCCTTTAATAAAGATAGAGCATGCACCACAAGGGTTTGAAGCCTAGGGAACATATCATGTGCACCAGCCGGATTGGTGCTACGGATGCGACGGTCGATTCTGGGCCACTGGATGTAGAACAGATGGGTTGGATGTTAGTATAAGGTGGCTGCCGGTACATTTCACACAATGGACCTTGCAACGTCATTCAACTCCGTAAAGCAGTCCTGCCAAGATCCCATCGACTTCTTCCCTTTGCTCTGCTCCATTCTGTAACTGTACGCCGGCGATTTGCTAGCTAGGGTTAGCAATTTGCTCCGTCGCCTCTCTCCCATCCCTCCCCTCCTCTGTTGGGCCACTCGATCTCTTCTTCCCTGTGTCCTGTACCTAGTTCCAGCATCGTACAAGCGCCTGCACCCCTCCTCTCCCGTGAAACGGCTGTGCCGCCGGCGAGCATGGACATGTAGCACCGAGCGTGCTTTAGGTCCGAGCAATGTCAACCCAACCATCGCAAATAAGACGGCCATCTTTTGAAGCTTGAAGTATCAAGGTATGATCTCCTATTCGATTATCCAAAGTATTACGTTTCTTCCCATCTGCCAGTTTCCCGAATTGCACCAATGGACTTGAAATCAGGCAAAGAGTAAACAGTAACCATATCTCCTGCAGGCTATAAAGTAAGATTTGTGCATGAATGTTATGACTTGTACCTGAAAAATGATTGCGAGCGAGTTAATGTACATGCCTGGAGTATATTATGTTTTGTTGTGTGTTCTTTTGATTCACTTTATTGATCTTAAATCGAAACTGTACTTTGATGTCTAGTTAAACTTTCTAAAATCATTACTAATTCTTATTCATAATTAATTTACTTGTTGCGGTCCACATTCTAACAATGCGTTAAATTCCCTAAAAAATAATGCTTTAAAATCAATAATAATGGTCTAGTGTACATGCATGGATTCATCTCACCAATTCTTGATATATGTAACTCTAATACGTGTAACTTTTAATTGTAGGTATACACTTGCTTTCACTGGATGATTCTGAATAGGTTCTGCAAGCTCCTGCTTGGCGACATTTATTTGGATGTTGATTTAGCTTGAGCTCTGGCCGACCTGTGGCTATCGCTATTTTTGTCCAGCTGTTTTTGGACTAAGTCCGATGCTTTGCTACTGTGCTTGCATCCGAGAAATCACACATTCAGGTTTCATTCTAATAAAATGAAAGCAAGGAGAGTGCCTCATTTTTTGTAATGGCAGCAAGTAAGAATTTCTTTTGTAATCAATATTCACCTACGATTTTAGGACTAAGAGCCATGATCTGGTACACAAATCTTAAGCAGTATCATTGAAATGCTCTTTACCATAAAGTTTATTCTTATCCAACCAGATAATGTTGTTGACCTTTCATCTTGGATGTGCTTCTAAAAATACATGATGTTCCGATTTTTCAGGTATTGTCTGCATGTTCAGCTGCAGCGCATCTCTAGAGAAAACAAAAAGGTTTGCTGTCAGGCTAGTTGTAGATGCATCCACTTTGTCTCTTTCAGCCAGCCAAGATATCTCTATTAGATGACGATGGGTGCTCAAGCTATTGCTCAAATCACGATATTGGCAGTGTAGAGCACAGCGGGCCTTCTGTTCAAAAGTTGTGTACAACAAAGCTATCCTTGTGAAATATATTACATCATATAAATATACACAATGTTTGAATCCGACTTTGTATACGACAATCGTGTGCAGAAATTTAAATATGATACTGTCAAATTTTCAGGATTTTATGCTGGCATTTAGTCATTTTTTGCTAGCCCAATAGCATTTTTAGAATTCCTAATAAATCATAGAGGCCCACTTAGTACATTCATGCAAGGCAAGAGGTGAGACTTAAGTTTTTTTTTTTAAAGGAGAGGTGGGACTAAAGTTTAGTCCCATACTGCTCATCTAGTAGGAGTTAGACCTCCTTATAAGGGAGGTTGTTTCTCCATATGTATGAGGATGAGAACAAAAGTGGCATTCACGCGCGCTCCTCCTCCGCCACCCGCCGCGCCACGGGTTGCAGGAATGAGCTGAGCCGTTGCCTAACTTTTTCCACGCACGACTGGTATGCGAATGGTGTTGTTGATGCTTTGTCTAGAAAAACACACAATGGAGCTAGTTTTTTGCCTGAGTTACATGTTGTGTCTTCAGCGGAACCTGCTTGGCTCACTGACATACTACACAGTTATTCTCTGGACAGTTTTTGCATTGAACTTTTGCAGAAACTATCAAGGCTGGTATTTTGCGTGTTGGCGAGTGTATTTGGGTTGGTTCTGATCCTCAGTTGCAGCCTACTATTGCTGGAACTTTTCATGACAGTCCTTTAGGCGGTCACTCTGGTTTTTCCAGTGACTTACCTCCGGGTACAACATCTTTTCTGTTGGCAAGGAATGAGAGGGTTCATCAAATCCAATGTTCAACAATGCTTAACCTGCCAGCAGGCTACGCCACTGGATTGTTGCAACCGCTACCTGTGCCCAACAGTCGCTGGGAAATGGTCACAACGGATTTTGTCAAGGGTTTGCCAACTTCTGGGAGGTACAACTGCTTGCTCGTGGTGATTGATAAGCTCTCCAAATACCATAGATTAAAATCACGGGAGAAATGATTTCGCGGCGGCCTCTCCCATCAGCTATAGCGGCCGCCATAGCGGGCAATAGCGGCAAATAGCAGAAAATTTTCTGGTGGGAGAGATGATTTCAAGAGGTTTTTGCTGATTTTTCTGCCATTTAGAGGGATATGTTGAGGTTTTCGCGGCAACAGCCATAGCTTAGCGGCGAGGCTCCCGGGCAGCTATAGCGCAGCTATCGCGGCTATTCCGCGGGCTATTTGAGTCTATGCCAAATACGGGCATTTTGTTCCATTGCATCATCCCTTCTCTGCAGTCATAGTAGCTGAAGCTTTTCTCAACTCGGCCTATCGTTTGCATGGCATGCTCCTGTCCATTGTCTCAGATCGAGATCGTATATTTACAAGCACATTTTGAAAGGAGTTGTTCCAGCGCTCGGGCATTCTGTTGCGCACGAACTCCGCTCGTTATCCCCAATATGATGGCCAAACAGAGCAAGTCAATCAACAGGTTGAATGTTTTCTTCGCTGCTTTGTAAGTGCACATCCCTCTCGCTGGGCTAAATGGGTCCCTCTCTGTGAATACCGGTACAACACTAATTTCCATTGTGCTACGGGCAAGACTCCTTTTGAAATCATCTATGGGCATGCTCCGCGTCACTTTGGGCTCACACCTGATGATTCGATCCAGTCTTCTGACCTTCAACAGTCGCTCGATGATCTTCAGGTTATCTTGGATTTAGTGCATCAGCATCTGTTGCGAGCACAACCACGGATGAAATCTCATGCTGACAAGCACCATTCTGACAGGGACTTTGTTGTTGGGGACTTTGTTTTTTTGAAACTCCAACCGTACCTGAAGTCGTCCCTTACACCCTGAGCAAACCATAAGTTAGAGTTCAAGTTCTGTGGACCGTTTGAGATTGTGGAACGCATCGGAGAGGTGGCCCATAAGCTGGCATTGCCGGCGACCAGTCGTGTCTACCCGGTATTCCATGTTTTGCTGCTGAGGAAAGTACTGACACCGGACAAACAAGTGCTTCCACACCTCCCCTCCCTTGATGTTCAGTTTCAGTTTCCTGAACAGATTCTAAAGCAGCATGTGATCCGCCGAGGCTTGGATTCCTTAGTGCAAGTTTTGGTCAAGTGGAAAGACACTTCCGTGGAGATGACGACATGGGAAGACAAGGTCTCTCTGAAGCAGAGTTTCCCGCGAGC